TTCCACGTTTAATTATTTGTTATAAAATTGACATTTTATATTTAATTTTATACAGACGAAATCTTAGCATAATTCTTGGATGATTTAAATTGCATTATATTTGGGTATAGATCAAAAGCTTCAATTAAAAAACGAAGTATTACGTTGTGCTTATACTTAAACTGAAACTATATTCTCTTTAAAGGATATTTTAACATTTCATCAGCATTATAACTGTATGGCTATAACGGGCTAGCTACATATTCTACTTTACTGCAAAAGAATATTTAAACATCCTAAACAGTAGCTTCCGTCAGTGAAATATAATCTCTCTATGAATCTGCGTAGCTGCAAACTGAGTTACGCAAACTTTTGCTTGAATACTTTTGTGTTTTTATAACAAAAATAACGGACTACTTCAATCGAAGATTTCTAATAATTTTATCTTTTTTTAGCCAAGTTCAAATCGAAATATTAACTTCGAATAGTTGATGTAATGTAAGTCTAAAATTATTATTATAAATTTAACTCTGTTTTGCTGTAATTACAGTTTAACTCTATCTTGCTATAGTTATCACTGATTAACATTTCATTCCGTGGTGCTGTAATTATAAAATTATCACGCAAATAAATTATTCTGAGACATAGAATTTCCATCTCTTGTTGAAGAAAGAATTTTTCACTTTGTCCCGCGATATTAGATTCAAACTCGCCAATTTTGTAGGAGGATCAGCGGTGAAAACTCGTTAGATTCCATTTCGCTGTCGCCCGATAAATCATTCCAACGTTTCAGCATGGATTTTCGAATCTCCCCTCCTCCCCCTCTCTCCTTCCCCCTCCCCCATAGGAGGAAGAAATTTTTTCACTTTATTTCGCGATATTAGATTCAAACCCGGCAATTTCGTGGAAAAATCAAGCGTTTCACACTCGTTAGATTCCATTCCGCCATCACGCGAGAAAGACAAATGGAATTTTTATTCAATATCTCAGGGAAACGGAACACCCCTTCGTCGTATCACCGTCACATCGATGCATCTTGCCTGACCTCGCATTTTCTCTGTTCCATTATCCGTTGAACGGCGGGGATATAATGTATCCGGTTCGGTTAAAGCGTCGGAGCTGTGCGCTCGCCAAAGCTAGCGTAGCCCATTGTGCTGGCCCCGGCACCACAACATTGGTGTTAAATTGCAATTATTAATCGCGGTAAGTAAACTATACGAGGGGCTCGCTACACTCGCAGCCCTCGAGACCAGTCGGTTTAGTCGAGTCGTAATTTCACGGCGATGGCTGTTACGTTTTACAGATATTGCGCCAACGTATGTATCTGGCCCGGTTCGCCAACGTGTACGATCGGATGTTAATTGTTTTCCTGTCTTTTTGCTATTTTCTCGAAATCATAATAACCATAAGAAAGTGTAAGATATTCCCTATTCTTTTCAATGGTATTGTTTCTAAAAGTTCATAAATTACAATGGTCGGCAATAAATCCGCTTACAAAACAACTTGGCGACGAAGCAAATGACCTATATACATTAAATGAAGAATTAAGAACAAATTTCAAACCAGCCAATTCAAATATTCTATTTGATCTAAAACAGAGGTGGCCAACTGGCGGCCTTTGCCTCCCCCACTCTCCTGATTGCTAGCGCTATCCCCTCCACTGCGTTGAGAGTGTCGCAGCCATAATGCTATGCAGCATTAGATTATATGTATACATTCTCTACCGTAGCTGCTAAAGCTAAAGGAGGATGGGGAAGGGAAAGTAGTTTGTATAGCCCGCTTCGGAACAGAGTGGGAACTAATTTTCATGGTGGAGAAGAACCGGCAGATTGAGCGAGTAGCCTTTGATCTAAAACTATAGAACTATAAAAACATACAATATCATCAATCGATAAACCGATTGTGTAAAAACGTTCTGAGAAACTTCTAAGAAAGACACAAAAGTACACGTTATCAAATCAATCCGTGCGACACGATAAATTTCAGCGAGTTACAACAAAATCGAGCGAGAAAACGAAAGACGTTTCCCGTCTGAAATCCTTGTCTTTGTCTTCTTGATTCTTCCTCCAAGAGTGATTTTCATTTAAGAAACAGAGTGCTAGCCGTTCCTTAAAATGCAGTTACTCGCGAAAGGAGGGCATAATTTTATATCAAGACTCGGTTACCTGCAAGAGGCGCGATGCATGCTTCACGTAGTTCGGCTGTTTCTTTATGCCAGCTTGCGGAAGTGAATCTCGTTTGATGCAAAACGCGCGATAGAATTATCTCCGGGCATTTTCTGCACTCCTGCCACGGCAGGAATGCGGCTGATAAATAGAAGCTGTGGAAAATAGAAAAGAAAAGCAGGGCAGAGAGAGAAATTATGCGGCCGCGTGAAATCACAAGAAGAAATTTCTCAACGCTTGTTAAAACTGCAAATTTCTCTCTCTCTCTCTCTCTCTCTCTCTCT